AAGGTGAATACAACATGAGTTTGTGTTCTTGAGAAACTTCGAACCTGATGATCTTGAAACTGGTCTCCTCCAAAAGCAGCCACGCAGGGTTTGATGCCTCCTGTTCCCAGGGCGATCAGGCTCAAACCCACCATGGACAGAGCTCTGGGTTTCAAACGTATCACAGACACAGAGTTAATACATCTGAATCTGCATTCCTGTTGTAATTTTTGTCACACCAATTCAAGCGTGCTTAACTCACACGTGGAAGGACATGTTCTCGGGGATGCCGTCCTTGTTTGTATCTGTGATGTCATGGATAGCACTTATAGCCATGACTATCTGTCCCAGCGTGTAAACGATGGACAGGTAAACAATAGTCCTGGGCAGAGGGAGGAGAAGGAGAAGAAGGAAGGAGCAAAGAGTTAAAAAAAAAAAGAGAACACCAGGCATTTCTATATGCAAGAATGAATTTTCTGTAGCAGGTAAAAGATAAGAAAGAATTGAAACTTACTTGAACTTGCCGAGCCATGAATCAGCAATAATGGCCCCCAGGATAGGTGTCAGGTAGCAGAAAGCCACAAAGGTGTGGTAGATGGTGGTGGCTAAGTCATCGTCCCACTTCAAGAAGTATTTGAAGTACAGCACTAGCACGGCTGTAGACGGCGGGAAAGAGTAAGAATGAAAGGTTTATAGATCTTTTTATCTATGGAAAAAGGCTCAATACAATAATATTTAAAGGTAATATACTTCAGAGCAGTTTTCAGTTATCAATACTTTACTTAAGAATTCCTATTAACTCTACAATATGGTGCAAAGCCATTTTTTCTCATGCTTTAATCTGTCCAATCCCTAAAGTGGTTAGAGGCTCACAGGTGCCACTTTTCTGTAGTTCCTGTTGGATACTTTATGGACGTTTTGCAAGAGATACTTAACTTATATATTAAATAAAAGCTTCAAATGCAGGACTTTAGTTTTTGGTCATTTTACTGCATTCATTTTACTGATCGAATAATTGAGTGTAAAATCCGAACTCACTATATCTGTGAAATACTTGTAGTGTAGAGTAGTGCAAGTAAAGAGTCACATTACTGCATCAGAAGCAAAATAAATCTCCTCACCTCGCATGCCATAGTAGGAGAATCGCTCGCAGAATTCATTGACCACGATGAAAAAGATGCTTATTGGATAGCCACAGACTGTGGCCTGTTAGGACGAGAGATGAATCTTGAGTCATAAGATGTATCACTCACCGTACCACTTTGATTTAGAAGTATACAACTAGATGCAAAAGCCTTCATTTATTAAAGTGTGAGAGTGGTGTTGGTGAATAGTTTTTCCTCTTACAATTCTGGTTGTCAGAGCAGTAAACAATATTTATCTTCATTCATAACATGACATAATAACTGCATATGTTCACATACTAACTCTACAGACAGTAGAACAACAGTTGGACTTACACTTTTTTGCTTGGGCTTCTTTATCTCCTCTGTGTCTGAAAAAGATCACACCTTCATTATGTAAACTTTTATTTTGAACTCGAAATAAAAAGTGAAATGACAGATAAATATTGTTGAAAGTGACGGACAGATCAAATGCAGTTGGTCAAACATGGTTGAATTACAGTATTATCAGCAAGATTAAAATAATAATAAAAAAATAAAAAAAAAGAGTATAAGAATAATTTCCTCAAATATGCACGAAACAAATCAAAGAAGGTAAAGATGGGTTCCTGAGCGTCCATGTCTCAGGGTCGGACCCAGACCAGGACTCACCTGCCATGGCTGCTGTCAACTTCAGGTCCCTTCTCCAACTGAATCCTTCAACAAAATGACAGAAAGATAAGTGAGCCCTGTTCAAATCCACAACACAAACACAGAGTCAAGGTCTCACCAGCCTCACTAGCCACCTATAACCCCCCCCCCCCCCCCGCACATTGTCTTTATCATAACTACAAGTGAGCACGTGTGTGTGTGTGTGTGTGTGTCAATAATTACTTTATGACTCAGGGAACTCAGGCACAATGCCTTGGTCCACCCTTCCAGATAAAAATAAGTTGTCAGGTTAGCTGATAAAGTTTATATCTATCGTGTGTTTCTCACTGCTTTGGACACAAGTTTCAGTATTGCTGTAAGTGTAGATGTACTATAGACACTGTAAAAGATTCCATAAAATGCATACAGTGCGAACCTTCAGGAAACCCATCGTGGCAGACACTAATGATGCTGGTTCTGCTCAAGGTGTCTGTCTGTTAAAATGGATTCTGGGGGCACCATTAACCTAGTGGTTAGTGTGTGTGTCCCATTTACAGAGGCTGTGGTCCTCTGAGCATGCGGCCCAGGTTTGAATCCAACCTGTGGTTCCTTTTCATGCATGTCATTTCCCATTCTCTGTCTCTCCCCAATTTCTGACTCTATTCATTGTCCAATTGATTTTGATTTATAGTTTCCTGGGATCACTTTTGTTATGATTTTGCACTGTATAGATAACATTCTGATGGATTGATTAATTGATAGATTACATTTATAAGTGCTAAGTTACATAGGGAGATAAAGTTATTTGAATAAAGCTAGTGGTTACAAGTTTAGTTAGTAGTTACAAGTTTTCCATATATTGATGCAGCAGGTGGCTGTATACCAATGAGTCCGGTTCTGCTCGAGGTTTCTGCCGGTTAAAAGAAGACTTTCATTGCCATGGTTGCCTAGTAGATTATTGTTGGATCTGTACAAATTACAAAACAAAGTGTACAGCCTAGATCTGCTCTTTGTGTAAAGTGTCCTGAGAACGTTAATGGTTTGGCTCCATTTAAGTAAAAAATCTATTTTATTGATTTGAAAAATCGATTGATTGAGCCTTTTCTAAATATAATTACAAAGGAAACTCATGTGTATGTTCCTCTGCATTATTAAAAATGAGTCAGCGCTAACCAACGTGTGCTCTCAAAACCCTTAACCCAAATAGACCACTAGACCGGTTGTGGAGGAAATTATTCTAGATCATGCTGTCCTTGACAATGAAGCTTAGTTTTTTAATGTCATTGTGATAATGATTGAAATGGGATAGAATATCAAATTTAGATAGATAATGTATCATGATTCATATTCACTGGTACACGATTGTTGATCATTGAGTGATGTGTCATTACAATCTCATTATATAGCAGTAATACATTGTAATAAAACCACAGTGGGTCAAAAGTAGTCAGGTGTTTATTTGCTTAGCTCTATAATTGGAAGGTAATACTAATACATTAGAGGCACACATTTATATGATGGTAACAGCAGCCACTTAATAACAAAAACACAAGAGATATAAAAAGGTCAAATGTACAGTAGAATCATTTTCGAAACTTTTGTATTTGACGACATAAAGACAAAAACAAACGTATAGCAGGACTCACGCCAGACACATGATGTTTAGCAGCCCGAACCTCTGAAACAATGCCACAGAGGGGGTGATTGTCCCGTAACCCATCAGCAACACAACAGGATGTGTGAACGTTTGTGTGTTTGTGTGTGTGTGTGTGTGTGTGTGTGTGTGTGTGTGTGTGTGTGTGTGTGTGTGTGTGTGTGTGTGTGTGTGTGTGTGTAGAGAGGTGGGAGGTGATTGGAGGTGGGATTAGCTGGTCTTTTACATGATTTTACAGGAGTCAGCACCCCAATTTCACTCATCTCTCCTGTTCCTCTTCAATGGCTGTACAGCTTGATACCTCACATATAAACAATAACTTATTTTTAACTGATAATGCTATGACAATAGCCGCTGACTATAACTATCAAGTTTCCCCTGAATTTATTCAAAGTGCATTTTATAGCAATGTACTACTCAAACATGGAACCTATTTCTTTACATATCAAAGAACTGGGATTGCCCCAGTAACCTAAAGTTCTCCTTCAAACATTCGTCTGGTATCTCACTATGGCGTATCTCACTCATTGTATCAGAGAACCAGGGTTACCTTGGTAACCTAAAGTAATTTTCGTTGGTTCAAAATGGTAAGTCAGTATTCAAAGAAAAATGTATCACTTAATATATCTTTTAACTCTCTACTATATACAAACCATGAACGAGTGCACACGTGAGACAAGTGTAAACAATATATTTGTTCTTTCACTGATTATATTTTGCAACATTTTGTCAGTAAAGTGCATCCTTAGTGTTGAACCCCTTTTGTATCTAAAAGTAACTGTCAAATAATCCTGTATCATCCCTATGAAGAATTAGTACATCATAAATTACATGAGACAGTAAGGTAAATGTGGACCAAGTCAAACTGTCAATAACCAGAATTTAGAGATGTTTTCTTTTTTACTTACCCATTGTAACATGCAGTCAGACCAGACATAATGAATCCTTGGCATGTAACAGGACTTCCTTATCTGTGCTGTGTATTCAAAACATTTCACAGACAGTTGGTTCTCTGTAGCTCCTGCTTCACAGATAAGAGACAGCTTTGAATTGTATCTGAAACAAAACAGGAAGCCTACAGGATGACCATGTGTTAAAGCACTGAAGATACTTTTTTAAAACCAACACAATAAATTAAATGCATTGACAGTTTGAACACAGTTATGTGTTCAAACTAAATCTTTGTGTGGTGATATTTTACCCTCAAGCCTCACCTGCAATATGTGTTCACTGTTTAGCAAATGTAAACACGCTAACACAGTAGCACAGTGGACATGGGAAACATTACCTGCCAAATAGCAACAAGCATTTTCTTTGTAAACTGAAATTAGTTCAATGCACTGCTGTATATGTAAAGCCTCACTGGCTCGCTGGCATGGATGTAAACTCTTTAAAGCCTAACAACTTCAGCTGAAATCAAACAAAGCAGAAAACATTTTAAAGCAGCAACAACAGTAACAGCAGGACTGTGACAAACAAATTAACCAATACCTAATGACATTGAGTTTAACAACAGTTCTGCTAAGTCATCACTCGATGAGATATAAGCATTATGAAATCATTTTCTAAACAGTTTTGGATTGTGACATACAAAAGCAAGGCATGGAAAGATGTATTATAACAGTTTCTTCTTTTATTTATGTCTTAAACATATTTACATGAGCAGAATTACATAAAAACTTTTGCATTTTACCACACAGATAATAAAAGGCATCTACATGACAGACAACGAAAAAAGGGGGTAGATTAAAAATAGTTGCACCCTTGTCTTGCATTGCACAGCATGTCTTCTAATGTCTTTGGCAAGAGTGGTTTTCTGTGCAGTAGGTTGCCTTGATAACAATAGAAAATATTGCACACTTTTCTTTACAGAAAATAGTTTGAAACATCGTGGTTCACTTGGCTTTAGACTGATTCTTTACACGTCCATTTGCCTAAAATAGAGAGAATAAGTCTTTTGAAGTCACATACAAATCCACTCCGATGCATCTGCTGTAACAGCGCCTCAATGGAAAAGTATAACAAAAATACTGCGCATTAGCAAAAGGATGTATGTATGCTTTCAATGGTCGCTTTTTGATTTGTTGCGTTGAAAAAAGTTGTTGAACTCTTACAAACACTGTACAATAATGGGAGCCCTGCAGATAGAAAACAGATAAGATGTAGACCTAGGTCAGATGTGAATACTGAAGTCCCTCATGTTTGTTGCGACATCCCCTCGGTGGAGCTCTGTTGAAAGTCACAGTATTGGATACACACTTGCTGTGTCATCAAATATAATTAACCCCAACTAACACGCTATTTAAAAAGTATACAAAAAAGATAAAGGACCCAAATCTTGCATTAATCCTGTAGAATCACTCATTTTCAAAGTGTGTTAGTTGACTATGGTCTCCATAGGAAACAAGATAGATGAGCACAATGCCTAATGATAACATGTACTGAGAAAGATGACAAAATAACAACAAATGATTTCTTCAGGTTGTGTTAAGGTACTTTAAATGTGTTATATTCCTATTGACTGTCAGGCTGTTAAATCAGTAACTTAGTGGTGAGAAAGGCATGAGTCTGGTGTGAAACCTCTGGATCAGAGAATGGTGGTGGAGCCGTGTGTATTGGCACTGGTTGGTGTGCCACTGATGGCGTTGAAGATGCCCATTGAGTCTGACAGCGCGCTCCTCGTGCCGTCATCCACTGGGTTAATCTGGAGGAAATAAAGGTTAAGAGGAAGATAAGAAATGCATTTTTAAATCCTGTTTAAACACTTACATGCATATTCATTTTAGATCATCCTATGAGGGGTTCACCGGGTGTTATTTTTATGCTGAGGGAATTGTGGTCTACGTTTTTGGGGACATCTGTACAGATTTTCATTTTTTGAATTTTGTCATCTCAGATTTTACTTTTATTTTCAAGTAATTCAATTAATGCACCTTTTTGGAGGGTAAAACATCAAATCTCCGAATTCAGCCTTGTTTCAACCAACTACTAATCACTTTTGGAAAAGCTGTGTCCTCCAACAAACCTTGGCAAAACAGCTATGGCTCCTTTAATGACAATTTTATTCTGATATACAGTCAGACTAACATTTGATTTATATCAGAATTCAACATCAGCTGGTTCAAATAAATATTCAATGAATGATCATTTTGAAAATTCTGCAGCCATAACGCTTGTATCTGTGTGCAGCTACTTATTTAGAGACTTCAATGTTTTTTTCTAGGTATAGGATGAGTCTAAAAAATATCACAAATAGAGCATAGCACTTTAGTTTTATATGCATGAAATAAAACAATCTCTACATCTAGATCATTTTCAGCTTCCCTTCATCTACCTAAGTGGAGAACAACATTACTGTTACTTCATTAAATAACCAAAGCAACTTTACCATCCAATCTGCTCAGGCCAGCACAAATAGAAGAGACAGGAGACATGGTTAGTAAAAAGGCAGAAGATTGCATTAGTGGACAACTATTATAACATACTATTTGAAACCATAGACTGTATAAAACATGGACAGAGTCTCAATGACATTATCCATCAGTTTCTGAAGAGGCTGAAAAAGCACAAAGATCACCATATTGGAAATGCTGTCACCATCAAGTTTCTGGCTTATTAAGGAGCGGGTAAAAGTAACTTATCATACTTTTCTGTAGCTGATGTTTGACTGACCGTGTCATTGCAGGGTTTGATGTTTCTACCTGTTCATGCATGATGTTTGACAGCTCCCTGGCCAGGTCCCTGTAGCTTGCCTTCATCTCATCATGATACTCCTGCTGGTCCTCTTTGATCAGCCGCTCGTTCACTCCCAGCCCCTGACCGCAGGCGTCCACAAACTGCCTGTGGAGAGACGCAACTGAATTTCAGAACCTTTTCACTTGAAGCAACATGCAGAGTATGGAGAGTGAACAGTTTTCTTTTAGAGAATTTCTAGTGATGTTATTAGGAAGAGAAGAATGTTATCATCCTACAAACACAGACTCACAGACCAGACAGTCAGAGAAGCGGATGGAGGAAATCCAACAGTAACTTCTTCCTATGTGCAGTTAAACTCATTACTGAGGACATTTTGGCCTGAAGAAAGGAATTCCAGCTTACATACAACCATAACTCATAGTTCTCTGCTAAGTTCTTAGGTACATATACTCAACAGTAACAACTACTTGAGGCACTCAGGCCCCGTCAGAAACTAGACCCCTGTCTTCTATGAACATAATCATAGAGCAATGTGCATTTCTATCGGCTGTTTCTTTCAATGTTTGCATAATTAAAACTTTAATTAAAATAAAAATTTAGCTTTTTTAAGCTTTGCTAAGGTGGAGAGTTGGATGGATCACTTTAGAAGTTGTCCTATAAATGATGGCTGTATAACCATTGCTGAAAATGTCCAAATAAAGTATAAAAAACGTCAGTTAAACTGCGAGTTGTGAATTACCTGGTGGTCCAACATATTCTCCATCACGCCATGAACCTCTAGTACATACTTTACCGAGAACACCTGAACAAACTAGGTACTGAATGGATTGGTAAAATGTAATTCCTATTTTCATTATTTTGAATGAAGATGTGCATGTCACTTCAAAGGCGCAGAGAGGGGAGAAAGTAAAATTTGTATTTTTATAAATACAAATGTTTCTGTCCTTGACAAGTACCTGAACACCTCTTTGAGTTGTTTGACCTTATTGTCTGGATACTTCTTGGCACTGCTGTCATCCAGGAAGGCTCTGGCGTAAGCAAGAGGACCTGCATTGACCTGGAAAAAAATTGAGCAAAATAAATTCCACTTTAAGTCATCATAAAAAATCAACATCGCCTTTTGAACAGCAGCATGGCATTGTAGTTCGGACCTGAACGCTGATGCTGCCTTGCAGTTTGAGCTGCAGTCGGATCATGTCCACCTCAGAGGCCGAGCACAGGAGGCGCAGCTCGGCCACCTTGGCGCTCATCTCGTCTATGGCCACCTCGATGGGGCTCAGGTCGGTCTGGTGTTGGTACATGACGGCTATACGCTTCTTCACGTAGGGGAAACAGTGGGTGGCTACATGGGGTTAGTGATTGAAGAGTGCATGAATAATAACAGTTTCATGGGACAGCATCTACATACATGTGCTAAAACTGATATGCTTAACATCTTTTACTTAGATTCCTTCAGTATAGTTTTTTTCCAGGATTTTAAGAGTTTTTTGAAGAGTTACTGAGCAAGAGAGTGAATCAAATGACTACCATTAAGATCAGATAACACCTGAACTTTGGGATTAAATGTGCAATGCAGTGACACTTTGCCTTATCTGACAGTTCAGGTGTTATCAACAAAAACAGGTGGCAACCAGGCAACCATCTGTTCTTAGCTTCCTTCTATTGCTGCTGCGATAAGACTTAAAGTACATTTCTTCCCTGAATGACCTACTGGTTAGAATAGTCCTCCGTTTACACTGCTCCTCCACTCCGCCCTGCTTCTTCCCCGACACCGTGAACGGCGTCTCGAACACAAAGCGCCGGATGTTGTGGCTCTTCTCAAAGTCGGTTTTCCTGTCCTCCAACTCCTTGTCGTCGTGGTAGGGAGTGACGTGAGTCACTTGGATGTAGGCGTATTTGGAGTCTAGGTCTTTTGGGTTCACCTGTGGGTGCGCAAGAGAGTCAGCTACCTTATTTTAGCTGAAACATAGAAAACTATAAAATATGTGAGTTCTTAAAAGATACATTTATATATTTCAGTGAGAGGTGGCCGAGTGAGTTGTCCATTTATTGTAAAGGGACCATGTACACTATTAAACATAAATGTGGCCATTCCATGTATTTTACCAGAATTTAAGATAGTTTGCATCTGCAGTCTTCTCTGATTCTGTTTGCAATCTGAAGAGTTGTTGTATGGAGTTGCATTGTAACCGTGAACTCTGCACTACGAACCATCAACAACAATGTTCTCCCAGCACTATTACACAATTGCCATGGCCTACTATTTTTGGTTACTGTGAGATAAACACACACAAAGATGATCCCACCCTGCCGGAGTCCTGAATGATTTTGACGTTCTCCTGGCCGAACTTGTCGGAGTAGAGCTTCAGTAGCCTCTGGGAGATTTCAGACAGCGGAGTGAACTTTGGCTCCTTGTAGATGTATTCCTTTCCATCTTCATCCTCAAAGAAGCCCTTTGAAAGAGAATATAAACATGAATATTGGTTAAATGACTGCAAACGGGTTCTTATCAAACCTCAGCCTATAAAGATAATCACAATTAATGTATAAACTAAATACTACCATGAAAAAGAATGACATGCCACATTTGATTAAGGTACTATGATCTAAAACTTCTGAAAGGACAAAACTAACAAACAAGGTCACAAAAATAATAACTTTAGTCTAACTATAAAAAAACATGCTCTAACATGAAACAAAGAAAGTAATAAAACAAAAAAAGAGGGGAAAATAAGAATGATAACATCAAAGTGCAAGTTTTAGCTGATCTCCAGACAAAGGTAATCTATTTTAGGTGATTTTCAAGCTTCTATCACTGCTACTCAGTATCTATGGAATAGTACACAAAAGTACATGTGGGTGGAAGCAGGCCAGTATAATGAAACCCGGAGTTTATAGGGAGGTCAACATAATTAATGCAGGAGTGTTGCTATGCTAATGCAAGCTTCTGCTACTTTGCTCTGGAGGAAAACACAGCAGTAAGTATACAGCTGACACAGATATTAGATTTTTTAAAAACATGCTGCAAAATCAGCATGAAATACTCTTTCTACACTTAAGGGATTTTTCTCAGCTGATGTTCAGAAATCAGCCACTATTGAGCCAAATCTAGAGAACCTACGGCTACATGGTGATGCTAACTTAATGTGAATAACATCAGCCCTAAAACAATATGATGATGATGCAAGCAGGCGGAGCACACCAGGCTAACAGACACGGCTAAACCCCTACACACTTACCGCAGCCTTGGAGGGAGAGGAGAAAAGAAAGAAAGCTTTATTAAAACCAGAAATCAAGTGTAGTTGATGGAATTGAAGGGTTTATGTGTTATTGTGTCTGTGTGACAGATTTTTTTATTGTTGAGTGGCTGGATAGGAAGACTGCTTTTATGTTCTTATCTCAACTTTCATTTAGTTAGTCTGTATTCAAAAATAGTATCTTATCTTATCACATCTGTGGTTAAGTTGTTATTCCACTTTTTTGTCTTTAGAGTTTTTTTATTTTACAGGAGCTGCCCCTTACCTGTCCAAAGAAGGCCACCCTGAAGTAAGTACCCAGAAGTCTCTTGCCAGTGTGCATCACCTCCATCACCTTCGTATAGGCACGGTGGAGGGTGTCATACAGGTGTGTCAGTTTCTGTACCATGAAAATACAAAAATAGCACATTATTTCAAGAGCAGGGAAAAAGAAATCAACTTTATTGTCAGTTATTTTCAGTTATTTAAACAAAACACACGCAAAGGGTTAAATGCTCCTTAAACTGCGCTGCAGAGTAAATAGCATCTGACAAGAAACCCTGGAGTGTACTGAAAAATAAAAGAACATTTAATTGGTAACTTTTTATTTGTGAAATGAAAATTATTTTCTTTTTAAAAGTCACTATTGTTTCATTGTCGACCCTTTCTCAATTAATCAAATACATATGTTACATTTTAAAGAAGTGCAAACTCAGTTATTGTTCTTCAAAGCATTGGAAACATGATGCAGACAAGCATCAGAGTTTGTGTTTATATAAAAATCGTATGTAGCTGCACATCTTCTGGCATGTGTCTGTTAACACTATTATCACCACTCCAGCCATCTGATCCCTGTTCACCTCAAAGTCTCTGCGCTGTTCATAGATGGGGATGATGAGCCTGTAGACGTCAGCGATGAGCTCATAACGCTCCGCCTTCCAGAGTCCATCAGCACACTCCTCCAACAGCTCCATCAGCACCTCCTGAACACCCAGAGAAATACATTTTAACAGCATTAAAGTTTCCTCTCGTCATTGCAGTTGTTAAACTGTTGCACAGACAGTCATTTGTGTATGTATTTATTCATTTAGGAGGCTAAACTGAGCATAATGGTCCTGTAAAGACAGCAGATGTGGGAGGAAATGGGTCCATCATGTCAGCTCCTTTTATTGGGGGAGTCCAGCTCATAAAGAGGAAAGGTTTACAAAGCAGATGGAAGGTACAGTAAAGGGGCTTTTCACTGCCTCCAGAGCTGATGACCAACTCATAAAAGCTTGCACGGCCTAAGGCCATTACTTTCAATTTCAGAGGGTTATCAGTTGGGCAGAAGACCTGATCTGAAGCCTCTGTGTCAACAAGTCACTGCACCTGCTGCAGTGTACGTTGCTGCAACCTGACCATGAGCCCTTGTCAGATTACCAAAGACATTCCCACCTGCCAGATCAGTGATTTTCTACGTTAACAACACATGTACCAAGCCCTGTACAAAGTCTACAATGTGTTCCCTTCACAGATTTATCCATAGCCAACAGAGATAAGAGCTCTGCGAGACAATTCTGAAGTGACACGTGTTCATGATGATGAGGAAGTTCGACAATGCTTTGTCAACACAATGTTACAGGAAGATTTTCAAGGACATGAATATGGTTTTTGGCATGAAGAAAGTCATTTTGTTACACGTGTTAATGATGAGGAAGTTCTAAAAATATCCTAAATGCTTTGACAGTATTGGCGTGCTGGCAGATATTCAAAGATAGGAATAGGGTGTTAGACATGAAGAAAAGGTTAATACATGAAGTCTGACCTCGTTGAAGTGAACGTCTTGCATCCCCACGTCCTCCATCATGGCTGCCTCCTCATCGATGTTGGGAGTGGTCACACGGAAAGCTGAGCAGCCCTGCCTGAACATGCCTGAAGAACAACAACACAACTAACATTAAATGAGACTTTTTACAAGAAGCATGAAAAACATGAGGCTACTAATAATAGATCATAGCTAAAATAACTTGAATTAAGCATACAGAATTAACTCATGGCTGAGTTAATATGTGTTAAAGGGCATTATGAAATATTTGGAACTAATGGTAGTCACAGTGGAGCACCATAATCCAATCCAAAATGAATTGGCTCAGCCACCAAACCCCATTTTACAATTTTACCTTGTGGATCATTGTAAAAACTCATTGTTCACACCCTACAACTATCGGTGGTGCTGCTCTGCTTTCAACCAGGACTCATGTGCAGTGACTCTACTGAGAGGTGGGTAAATGTGTGCAGGACTGGAGACCAAGACAAATCTTCCCAAGGGGTCGATAAAGTGCATCATAACAAATCATATCAAATCATATCTTCAAAAAGAAAATACTGTCTTTAAATTTGGGGATAATAATGTGTCAGTATTTTTGGTATCTTAAGAGTGTTTTTTCCTTTCCTCATAAAAATTGGATGAAAGGAACCATGTCAACAACAAACTGTTAATAAAACCCTGTGACGTTATACAACGGATCCCCTCCATAGTCTGAACTCAGTATCCAGTTTGATGTGAGGAAACATGACGGGGGATCTTATCTTGGGAATGCAGTGTTGGAGCGTTTTTAAAACAGGAAAGAACATATGACCCTTGGACAAGTGCTCAGGTGGAACAATAGCTGTTTGTTCTTGTGTGTGTGTGAGACTTAGGAGAATGTGTTCTAACTTACAATAATACAGAACAAAGTAGCTGAAAGAGGCAGGACATATTGTTATAATTCTTATAATTATTGAGAATTGATTCCATAATTATCTTCATTCTGTTGTGTTAACCTTGACCAGTTACATATTTAAAGGATGATGATATAAATTAGGATGATTAAAATGTTGAAATGGAGTTGAAAGTCAGTGGGTATTTACAGTAGAATGACGCATACCAATAGAAAATCTATTTCTCCTGGACTTACCTTTCCTCCACAGATATTCGGCTACCAAAGCGGCAACGTGCACATAACACATGGCTGCCTGCAGATAAAACACAAACACAGGTTATTCCATAAATGCAATGTTAAAGTATAGTGTTTCTTTAAAGGCGTTGTTTTCTGCAACTGAGAAGTTTTTTAAGTACCTCTGATAAATCTCCGTTCTTGTTGTGGATCCGAGCCATGCTGTCCAGCCAGGTCTTGCGGAGCTCAGGCGTGCTGGTGTAGGATTTGGCCAAGCTGTACTGAAGGTCTACCAACATCTCCGGATCGTTTTCGTGCTCCTTCATCTGCTCCGTGGCCATTAGCACCGTCCTGATGCGCTTCGTTAGGTCCTTTACATCTGATGGAAATGCTGTATGCTGGCAGAGTGCAAGAGAACGAATGATCCTTTATGGAAAGGTTTAACATAGAAATGTTGAGACAAAAACGTTAAGAGTCTGACTACAAACTGGGTGAATACTGTCACCATTAAAAAGGGAATTGGAAAGGATTCTTTTTTTAAATCAGGGGTGTTTTACATAACTGTGAGGCTGAATCCCCCTCACCTTTATGGATTTGTCACTGTTGGCACAGTTGTTAATGATGGAGAGAGACTGCTGGAAACGGGTACCCCCGATGCCGATGACATCAGCAATCAGCTGACTGACAGCAATCACCACCTGAGTGTATAGACAGGAGGAACAAACAAAGACAACATAAGAATATGGTTAGCATACTTGATCACATCAGATCAGATCGGCCATGTGAGCAAACAGTTAAAAAAAAAAAAAAAAAAGACTTAAATACACGTACCTGCAGGTGTGTTCGTACGAAAGACCTTCGTCCGGTGTAGTCAAAGTTGCTTTTCATGAGGAAATAAAGAAGATGTGCTGCATCACTACGGATTGAGCTTAGCTTGGAGTTACAGCACTTGAGGATTTCATAACAAAGAGAGGCACACATGTCGGCCCGGCCGTCAAAGAAGGTGCAGGGGGAACTGGTGAAAGAGAGGAATTGATGCATGACCAATGGAAGTTTTTAAAGATATTTCAAGGGAATAATGATTTAAAAAAATAATACAATAGATTTATCATATCCTCTTTCACCTTGTAGATGAATGTCCTGAGTGAGGTGAAGACCTGTTTGAGGGCGGCCTCTGACTGAGGGATCTGCAGGAAGCACAGATGCACCTGGAAAACTTTCTTCATCAGGGGGTTGTGACCCAGATCTGAATTCAGCTGCGTCTAAGGACACATTGAAAACAGAATTTAAGAAACAACCAATAAGTTGTGTGTTGGAAGAAAAACATCAAATAATGTATCAGTTGTATACCTTGAACCCCATGATAAAGATGCTGAGTGTGTCCAGCACAGTCAGACAGACCTCTGTAGAAACATTGGCCTCCAGCAGACACTGGCTGCTCACGTCTGCGTCTGTATGAGAGTACACTGTACAGAAAGGACAAGGTCAGTGCAGCAGATATCACTTTATTGGAGCAATAACTTGCAGATTACATACATTTATAATTACTCTCCTATAATGCTTTTTATGGAAAGAGATAAGCGCTGTCATTTTTGCAGTACTCATTTTCTGCTCATAGAGGTCAGTAGAAGACATCAAATACTTATTACAGGCACATTTGCAAGTAATATTCAACTTTTTAACAGAGGTGTAAAACACAAGTTTTTCATTTGAGTCTTTTTATTTGACAAAAATATTAAACATTTGTTCTGATTTGTGCAGAAAGTGGACAGGTGCTATACAGAAGGTAGGTGTAAATCCTACTATCCCAGTCTTTATGTTATCAAATAATGTGTGTTTTTGACTGAGTTATGACCCTTAGAAGTACTACTTTGATGCTTTTCCCTGTGGAACTCAGGACAGGTGAGGAAGGCTTACTGTTGTTGAAGGTGTGAGCGTTTTCCAGAGTTCCCAGCTGCTGCAGGCGAGCGTGCAGGATCCCCGCCCTGTTACGAGACACAGGCAGGGTCAGAGATTTCCTGTCAGAAGCTACTGGCCCGACAACCTCCTGGCTCCTGTTTGGAGAAGAGAAAGACCATTACACTAAGATATAGACACAAGATAGAAGAATCAATATGTAGAGATGCATTAAAGGATCAGGTGTACACAGATCAAATTAGAAAATGTCTTAGCAGCAATAGAGACATTAGAAAATAATATAATGTATTTTTAAAGTTTAAAAAAGGCAGCAACATGCATTTAATGAAGCACAGTCAGACAAAAAGACAGCCATTTCTTACCCATGCAGGAGGGGCCAGGGGGCCGCGATATTTACCACAAAACAACTCTCCAGCACGAGAGAACAAACCAGAAGCAAGGGATTAAAAGAGTCAGTAAAAGATTTGTGTTTGTAAGTCTGTGCAAGGCTGTGAGTCATATTATAGCAGAGGTGATGACCAAAACCATCCAGTTTAAGAATCAGTTTATTAAGTGAAAACAACATAAGTGGCTTAATTGAACTCTTTACCTGACGATGAATCTCTTCCCCATGTATTTAAACTGATGGAGGCAGACTCTGCAGGACAAACAAAAGAAGAGAAGCTCAGACAGATATCAGTACAACACTCAGGTCTTTGAATTTATGAATTCATTCATACTCGTATATTAAAACAAGTTCTATCAATGATAAAGTGTTATTTATTAATGATACTTTCTATCAGGCTGTGTTGACTTCATTTAGCACAATAATCTATATTTAAATGAAATGTATAGATTATTTGGCCTATTTTTGCACCATTTCTCAAATTCTGTATCAAGAGGCAGACAGTTTTCGTCCCCTAAATAGAATAAAATATGATCCATGTTGAATTTTGGAAAACCGTAATGACAGAAAAACGTGATTTAAGTGGGTCTGAGTTAAGAAATATAATCTCATGTAGCCTTGTGTGTATTTCTACTTTATACTCATGATCTATTTAAACGCTTGATACCAGTTCAGTTATATTAGCCTTTATTTGCTTTCTTGCCAAGGGTTGGAAGAAAAGATCAATACCACTCTGTGCATTAACAATCAAGCTACTTCTGGAGTCAGCAGCCAAATAGGCTGAAGTAAACAGCTGAACTGTTGTTGTGTTTATTGTTTAGTAGTGTGAGAAGCACCAAACAACACATTTTAAAGTAATACTTTCTCATTTCTCTTTCTGTATGAATAAACAAAGAAGATAAAGCTCAGAAAGCAAGCTTACTGTATGTTACCTTTACAGCATATTCCACTTACTTGTCACATGAATATATACACAGACATGATATAGATACGTATAATTAATCTTGCTAAAGAAAGTAAACCTCAGCAAACTGTCAATTGTCTAATTATCCTGAGTGCAATCTCTTGTGTTTATATGTGTTCATATTTACAGGTGTAAAATGAATGAGTTGCTGCAGTTGCAAGAACTCCTTATAGAAAAACAATTCTTGTCATTTTACTTTTTGACCATGTACAGAACAGAGTGTTTACTATTGAGCTCCAAAGGTGGTGATAGGTGTATTTTTAAATCTTTGGACGGAGCTAGGCTGACTGTTGCCCTCTGCTCCATGTACATGAAAATAGACTTAATTTCAGAACACTTCCTTTAAAGTGTATGTGTGTCAGGCTTGGGGACTTTTTTCTTTCTGTTTTTCTGTAATCTTGTTCATTTGCAAACTAATTAGGGATTTCAGTGTTGTGGTAGGATAAAACAAAGAACAATGATTGGCTCAAGTCTCAATCTAAACTGCTCAGAAAATTATTATAAAACAGTCTGCCACTTCTGTACTCACTCTATTAATGTAAAGAAGTCCATTAAGTCTGAGGGGGCTGCTTTATTCCAGTATGCAAACAGGGCCTCTGAGATGATGAAACAGAAAGAAAATTGGGAGAAATGATCAGTTAGGACCAGTTTTTCATATAAACTTGTTTAAATCAAGCACAATGGTTGACTATCTTACCCTCTGACATGCTCTTGAGGATATGCAGAAAGCCCATGAGCAGGTTTTTGATCTCATCGCGGTCCAGTTTGTCACAACGCAGCAAAGAGCTGCCCAGAGCGGATGCACACTGGTTCTGATGTGATAGACAACAAATGAGAGGGTAAAAGTTTTAGTTAGAGGGCAATGACAGCAGAGTTCCAGCAAAATGTACACTTGAAAGGGATAGAGACTTGAACAACCCCAAACTTCAGAGTTGAGAAATGTCAAGTTTTTTTTCCTTCAGGGTGGAAATCATACGAGAGCAGGAAAAAAATAGCTCATTTGCTGCAGCAGCTCTGTGCTTTGAGATAGTAACATCAATGTAGGTTTGAAGAAACACATTTAGAAGTGCATTACAGCATCTGAGGAAATTCATGAAGAAGTCTTTGAGGTCAGCTCAAATTCTGCCTTGGGAAAAACAAACACACTCCCTAAAGTGGGACACGCAGAGAGAAGAATGTTGGGAGGAAACTTTAGGAGGATTTTCTACAGATGTCTGCAAACCACAGACTATGTTTTAATCTTAAAGGCACCAAAAGAATCTTGTTTACTGAAGACATTTGCTGGACTCTGTACAAATGCAACCAAAAGTCTCTGCTGTAGAGGTCACACAGGTCACACAGAATACTTGTATGGGTATGTTTTCCTCCTGATTTCCCTCCATCCTCAGGCCTGCAGCTGATTCCTCATTATCACTCTCATTTTGCAGAGGCAGGGGCACAGAGAGGAGAGAGAAGTCCATGGTGACACGCTTTGTGGCGCGGTTAAAAGGTTGGACTCTGTCCTCGGGTTCCAGGGGGAGAGGGGGCACGTTGACGGAGTGCCTCCGGGAGAAGCGCTCCTTGGGGTAAGATTTGCAGGATGCAAAGCAGTGGGACGGGGTGTTGGAGGTCTGAAGGAGGGGGCGGGAGGGAGTGTGGATGTCCAAGAGTGCAGATAATTTTGTTAGGATGAAACGTGGGTTGTTGCTGTGCAAACCTTTAACCTTAACCTTAGTGTTTCGCTTGTATTGGCATCTTTTCAATAGAGATTTTTTCCTGATTTATGACCTCTGGTGTTTAAGGTCATGTGTGCCACACAAAAAATGTATGTGCTATACTTGTAGAAACATATATGTTATCCTTTTGGTTAGAAATTAAACCACAAAGGGATAAATGGGTATGTTAAATATCTTAAGTGTATAGAGGCATTAGTATTCATTTCTGTTCATTCCATATTTGGCTTTCAAGGACAATATGTAAGATATTTACTGAATTAAAACATAAAATGACCTTATTATATCATCAGACATTAAGGAAACATGCTATGGTAAAGTGCTGGCTTCTCTGACTGGCTTGTCCTCCTTTTAAGTTTTGATTCAGATCCGAAAAGGTCTGTTTTTGTTTGAGAAGGTATGCCGTTTTAAGGCACCCCCAGACGGAAAAACCAACATATTTTGCAGCGATGGAAACAAGCAAGCAAACTGGTTCAGATATACATGATTCTACCGGAACTTAAACGCCTCAGCATTTAACTGATAAGCTCCACGACCAGCAATTTGATCAAACTAGAATAAATATTGGAGATGCTTTTGGAAATTGACCGATGCAGAGCTGACAAAACACTGAAGCTTCTGTGTGGGTGCACATCCACTTTAGGGGGGAGAAGTTGGGGGAGACAGCCCTCTTCAATGTTTTGAATTTGGACGACATTACCAATTCTAAACGCTACCTGTCAGAGTTACAGATTGCTCCTTTAAGTATTCTTGCCCTTTCTCATTCAGGTATTTATTTACCTTTTCCAGGGAGTTGGTTTTTTCACTGCTTTTGTCCAGCAGGCTGTTTCCAGAGTCCGTAGAAACCAGGGAACCTCTGGAATCTGCGTGGTGAACCGAGCTGATGTTGGGAGTGGAGCTGTGAGGGGAGGCTGCATAAATCAAGCATTAAACACTCAGTTTAGTGCATACAATACGATTGGTTATATCTACAGTGTGAACGTTTGCTTGCGGATGAGAATATACATTTGCTCATAACAACGAACATTTTCCTCATTAAGAGGATTTAAAAGAATATTCCTGCCGCATGAGCTTTGACTGTGCTCCAAACGGTCGTAAGATAGTGTAGGGAGTATTTACCTGTTCCAGAGATGACCCCGAACACATCTTTGTGGAGGGCATTTTCTATGCAGCTGCCAGGTTTCTGAGGAGTCACCATGGAGTTTGGCACCAGAGAGTCGTCCCGGGCATTCTGGGAAAGAGAGTGGTCACAGTAAAAGCCAGGCTTTAAATAGAGAAAAAACAAACATTGCTTTTAATTATTCAAGAGGGCAATACTTCAAGACATTGACCCCTCTACTTAATCTTTTGAAGAGACAGCAGGTCTTGGTAGGGATAAGAGAAATGAGCTGCTATTCAGTTTCCAACCACTAGGTGTCAGGCTTACATTGTGGTTGTTTAGTGGGGCTGACTCCTTGATGTCAAGTCTGTAGACATTTTCCTGGAGCAGGCCAAAAAGAGGAAGGTAGAGGGTTGCAAGTCTGGCCTGCTGGCTCTGGAAAATACACATTATGCTGTCATAAGTCATACAAGATCAAATTGTAAAAAATAATCAGGAAGAAATATAAAGAAATAAGGTGTTTAGCAGGCAAAGTTCCTTCACAGCTACACCACAGTAAAATGGGTTTTGTTGAAAAAAGCTGAGCTGGAGAACTCACTTTCGCAGCATAGCGATCGTCAAATGTGTGTTTGATCATCAGCCCCTTCAGCACCTGGACTGCGATCTGACGGATCTCTCTGTACTCCTGAAGAGCCCCCCCCACCTCCCTCAGCAGGAGCCCCACCAGGAAGTGGTTTCTACAGAAGTCGTCCGTGAGGGAATAGTCCAGCTGAAGATCTGTAGGAGGCATCAATCAAAAGAAACAACAAGTTGTGCATAATCTGCAATGCGCTTTGATAAAAGTGACGTTCAGCGTGCTTCTGTTCTTTCTTTACCCTGGAACCTTTGAATTCTGCCCTTTCCAAAGGGCATGGGCAGATTAAGAGGGACGAAGTGCTCATGGTTGCAAACAACCTTCAGGAACTCAAACTTGAACTCATACAAAGTCTGGAAAGAATGCAAGATAAAGTGATCTTTTAGGTCATGTTTAATTATTTAGACTTAAACAATAAATATGAAAGCGCAGGAGTCTATTAACCTTAGGGTCTCCAGGTACGAAGCAGTTCATGTAGTTGTTGATCTGTTTGAATACGAAGCCTCTGTCCATAAAGGTGAAGCAGCGCTGCATGTGAAAAGGTGAGAAACATAAGGTTATTGTTTTAAATCTTTTTAATCATTCAAATCTGCAGTGAGAGTAACTTCTCATGTATACCCTAAACTAACGGGTATTTTTACAAACTCATCTACATATTAAAGGACATTCAGGATTGCAGGCATTGGGAGGAGTGCCAACCTTAATAAAAACTGCCAGGCTGTGGTTAGCATTGCGAGCTGCATCCAGGTTGTCCTTGTATTTCTGGGTGATGTGTGGCATCAGCATATTCACCAGAGTCTCCACTGCATGATAGAATGATGCAGAAAAGCGCTGGTTTCTGGAGAGCTTGATTGACGAGAAATAAAAAGAGCTGAGTGAAGTGATTTAGGCGTTGAGGAAGGGGCTTAACAAAATAAATAAAAGACTAACACAGGACCTACCTTGACCTTCCCGCTCTCTATGAGATACTGAGCCATGGATTTTACCAATGCTTCAAAAAAGAACCATGAGTGCTGCAACATAAAAACAGAGTCAGTGCAAAGGTAGCCATTTAAATAGTCACAATTTGATTTAATCTGGAATACATAGGTTACCTTTAGCAGCTTATTACTTGTCAGGAAGTCTGTGGATGGCTTGAGAATGGCGGTCATGGCTTTAGCCAGCTCCTCGTGAACTGTTCTCACATTGGGGGACGAATGAGGCTCTGGCTTAAACACAAACTGAGTAGATGGGAACACACAAAATCAGTTCATTCGTTTTCATAGTATAAACATTGTCTCCATAATATCAGCGTGAATATAGTGAGAAAAAAACTACACCTTGACATAAGATCTCAAGTAATGTTCAAGCCCTTCTTCATGGCACTGTGCTACAATGTGAACCATCACCCTGAAGAGAAAGAGATAGAGCATGAGAATATCAGGAATTAAAAGAGTCACAGTAGAAGGAACTACTTTGAATCATTCAGGCAAAGAGTCCTCATTTACACACTTCCTACAGAACTTCAAAGACCAGTCACACACCCTACTGTGATATGAAACATACAGACGGAGTGTGAAAACCAAAGGTGAGTGTCTAATGAGAAGAAGGATTCAGGCTATTTCAGAGAAAAGGGGAATGTGCTTTAGAGCGAGAACCAGATGAAAGCATTGTTGTTATATTTTTCTATGGAGGAGTTTGCTAAAGAGACTAAATATATTGCTGTAAGGCATATCTTTCTGCTGCTGTAAACAGGTATTTCCCATGTGTGTGTTTTGGCTTGCCTTGTCACGTTGACAGCCACGTCCTCATGTGTAGCTCTGGTGAGGACGCAGAAGAGCTGGTTGAGGACGATGGGCAGAAAGTTGACCATAACATGACCTTCCATCGCATGCAGACTCTGGGAAGGAAAGGGAGGAAGTAGGAAAATAAAACAAATATTGAAGGAATGTAAACTGTGGCTTGTCATTTTCTCTTCAATGCTAGATCACATGGAGTTGACGCTATACAAATAAAGATTGATGGTTGTATTTGATCGGGCATGAAGAAAGGGATTACGATACCTTCAGGTATTTAACCAGCTCCCCCTCTAAAGCTTGTTCTGACATCTCCATGCTTTGACAGTGGTGGAAGAAGTTGTGCAAGTGCTGATCCTGAGGAAGGAATACACCATTTTCAGTTTATTTACATTCTTAAAAGAGAATTTAGGTTGTTGTTTTTCATCCAAGGACAAAAGTGAGGTGATAAAATTTGTATAATTAGAAGTACTCTGTGTAAATACCTGAGTGTAAACTGTAGAAACAAGATGAGTTGAGAGTTTGAACAATGGTTTTCCTCCATCGACCCATTTGATTTCAGAGCCTGAGTGCTGCAATGACATGAAAGCAATAATAACAGCACTTAACACTGAGTAAAGCTGCACTGTGTTGATTATTAGAGCACATTTAAAAAAACAATGCAGATAACCTGATATAGTCAACTAATCAACGATAGTTTTTCCTAAAATAACAAGGCAAGCTGTTTTGCCATATGTCTGCAGTGTGCTGCAAGATAAACAGAATACAGCTGTTTATAAATGAAGCTGTGTTAAAAACTGCTAACACAGTAAGTTTAATTTAAATCAGCATAAGCATTAAACCCCAAAGCTTATCTGTTGAGCTACTTTGGTATACATTCTGCAGCTTTAATTAAATTTGCACTAAACCCATTATCCCAGCACCACAAACCAGCACTGAGGGGTCTTAAAAAAGTGAGATGCCATTGATATTTTAATGCATTAGATTGAACCATGATCAGATTTCACAGGCATTTCATGTGCAAGCTTTAACAAGGTCCCAATCCAATCACAAAATAACAAGATGATCATTGTCATTTCCATATCAGATCAGCATCTGAAATGTGATAAATCCTATCTTATAAATTGGAAAGCGTTGAGGTCATCACAGGGAGATACTTTTAACCAGAAAATATTTTAGTTCCGAAGAAATGACAACCTTCACTTAACAAAAAATTGCAGAAGTACATGACTTGCCCTTAACAAAAAGAAGACACTGCAATTAAAAATAGTCCTAGAATAAGTTCAAAGCCCTCCTGAAGCATTTAATGTTTGTATGTTCAGCTTAAACTCTTTAATAGTATTCCTCTTTTTTTTTTACCTTGTTGACTCCATCCTGTGAGCTCAGGTACCCGGCAGGCAGATTTGCAGCGACAGGCAGCAGCTGTTCATTCATGATGACTCTGCCGTCCCTGAGCAGAGGCAGCCATGCTGAACCCACTGTGGGTGAAGAACAGGTGGAGTCACATGTTAGTTAAATAGTGATAATACTTGAGCTGCAGCAGGAGCTTTAAGATTAGCATTTCAAAAGTTTCCACTTACAGGGAAGCATCATAAAAGCTAAAGTCAGGAAGTATGCATGTATCATAATGCTTCTCCCATTTATGTGCAGCAGTTGTTTACATACATTCTTTGTTTGTTTTTTGCAGATGTTTAAAATATCTGTTGGTTATATTCAGAGGTGGGAACTGAAATCTGTAGCCTACCAGGAGTTTCCACAAGGTCTTTCTTCTTGCTGTTGCTGTCACAGCTAACGTGATAGAAGGTGAACAGAAGGTGATGCTTTTCATGCAGCTGAGTTGGCAGCTCTATCTTTATCTAAAGGAGAGAAAACACAGAGGACCAGGGTTAGTTCTCTAATGCAGAGGGAGCTTTGTTCTAGTAAAAATTGTCTGTGGTTGATTTCCAGTGAGAATTCAATGTAGGGTTGAAATGTTCTCAATAGACATGAATAGAGGTGAGAGGTAACTCCTCACTTTAACACATACTGCTTAAAATAAAACAATATATATATATATATATATATATATATATATATATATATATATATATATATATATAACTTTTAGACTTGTAACTTGTGTTGTTGCTCTCACTCCTAGTTTAAGCAATGAATAAGCAAATTACAATCAAACATCATTTAAATCAAGCTAATCATGGGTAGATTGAGCATTTAAATACCTCATCATAAAACTCAGGGTTTTGCTGGTGGTGCAGAACAGCTGCATATGCCTGCTTAGTGAATAGGGGACCTCCTGGCCGACCATAGATGCACTGCAGTGGATTCAAAGGGAGGAGGTAATCAAACATCAGAATGAATATGAATAACCGGTTTTAAAGCATAAACTGTTGGACAGTGATTTAGAAATAAAAGCCTAAATAAAGAACAATCTTATTGAGTCCCTAAGGAATTCAACTCTGAAGATATGTATATCTCTGTTGTTTTACCTTTTAAAGTTACAAAGTATCACATCTTTTTTGATACTTCTAGATACTAGTGTTCATTCTGAGAGGTCAGTGTGCAAAAAGCTGAAAAATATTCAAATGTACCTTTAATGGCGGGGCGTCATCCTCATCAGAATCCTTGAATTCAATGCAAACAGAAATATTCCTCGCCTGAAAAGCAAAGAGAAAAGTTACAAAACAGACAGATTAAAAGAGCATGAACAATCTCAAAGATATCCCATTTGGCCTGGAACCAATTTCTGCCAATTTGTCCACTGTGCCTCTCTGCGCTCGTAAAGGATATGCATTACTTTCAATAAAGAAAGGGAAGATATTTCAGGCAACAAATTGCTGCTATCATTTAAAACAAAAGAGGGCAGAGAGACAGATGGGTGGAGAAATGCAGGTTGGTTTCCTACATGGAGCTGACCTAGTGAAAAGAAAAGTATTAATGTATTAATCAGAAGCTTGTGCTCTGCGTAAGGATAATTCTATCCAGCTCTGCTGCTTGGCTGAACGAGCCTGAGGCGGCTGCCAGTTGTCTTTTAAACCCAACAGGAACACAAAATGATGACGATAAGAGAATGCTAGCCAACCAAAAGCATCACTTCCATGTTAGGATCATATTATGTTACATAAAGGATCAATACTAACAGTTTATCACATCTATAATCCCCTATTTTCACTTCTTCAAGAGATTGTTACAAAAGTACTGCTTGGCATTCAAGGTGTTTGTACCTTAGCAAAGGATTTCTGTCCGTCATATTTGAGGTGTTTTGGGTAAACATAGAGATGGTTTTTATAGATGGTGAATGGTTGGGAGCATTTAGCGATGCAGGGGACAAACTCCTCCACCTCCAGATGAGCACTGCCAGGTCCGTTGCCTTCAAAGTTCCTTACAGGGATGTAAGATGAAGTCACACAATCTGCAGACAGGACCAGAGGGGAGTTCAAGGTCTGATAATCATAAAATTGACATGAATAGTGATTTTGTAAATATTTAGAGGGTTTACTGGTTACATCCGGGGCCACACTGTCAATTGTTACATCTAAGTTTCCTAAGAGCACTGGCAGTTTGGCCATTTTCTCTGGCCTGTTGAAAAAACAAGACAAATAAACAGAGATTTAAAGAACAAATTGAAACAAGTGAGACTGATATGTTGAAGAGAGGAGAAAATAAGCGTACTTTCTGAAGTCGGTGAGCAGTTTGAACATGTCCTCGTCTGACAGCTTGCTGCTGTCCTGCCTGTAGAGAGCAGAAAAGCGAGTGCTTTTGTCCAAAGTTCCTGATGCATCTTTGAAAACAGGCCTACAGAGACAGTTAAAAAAGAGAGAAAAAAACATTGACTCTGGTGCAGAAAGAGCACATTTCAGTTCTACACTGGTGGTTTAAAGATTTGTGCCTCCCAGCAGGCTTTCCTTTGACAGTTTCTACTCAGTTCATATGCAGTGTCCTCAATCTGGATAACTATGTAGTTTGATGGCAAAAGAAAAAAGATCCCTTTGATTTTTAGAAGCTAAAAGTTTACCCCTAATCACTAAAATGAGTTAAAGTACATGAGTCTATTTATGAGTACAATGCCAGATAAGTAAAGGACCCCCTACGGCTGGAAGTCTCTTTCTTCCTTTTGTAAACAAAATTAGGTTTCTGAATTTGTCTGTGTTTTGAATATAAAATAAGCAAATGCAAGAATGCATGCTGCTAGCAGAGTAAATAATTAATGAAAACATCAGACAATTTGGAAAGTTCAACCTATATTTGTGTGTACACAAGTAGGTTTGTGCTCTGTCAGGCTGCAGTGGGATTATTGTTAGTTTGTTGATGTTTATTTTATCCTCTACTTTTTAAAGGGAGTTTGGAGTTGTTCTGTTGATCATACTTTTGTGAGGTATCTTTTTTTTAATTTTTTTTATCTCTGCCACAGAACAGAGAAACGCCTTTTACCAGAAATGTCACAATACTCCTTTAAGGCTAGATCGTGTTGACACAAAATGACACAAAATGCAAATAGTAGATAAATAATTGTGTTCTCACCTTGCAGCCCAAGCAAAAGGCATCCTGTACTGGCCCAGTCTGCTGCAGGCTGTCTTTGCATTTTTCAGCACCTTTTGAGCCATCTGAAGTTAGTGAGAAAACATGGGATCAATCTTCTTTTAAGACTTGAGGGCACTTTAACGTCCTTGTCATTTTTGCTAATCTCTGTACCTTAGCGGAGTCTGAGCTCTTCATGTAGGGTTCAGTGCAGTGGGTGATCCCCCCCTGCAGCACCTTCTCAATCCTTGCCACCAGGAAGATATCCGGATGGGGGCATGTGACAGAGAAAACCCCCTGTTTGGGGTACTGCAGAGCCCCCTCCGGGAGTCCACTGGCCTGCCGTTGAGCAGCCAGAGGACCATCTCCACTGCCATTAATGTGTAAATCCTGCCCGCTTCTGGAGCCTGACGTCATTTGTCGAACCAAAGGGTGATTGAGATCCACGTGGAAGTCAGCGGAAATCTTTCTACTGTTCTGGACGTCAAATAGGGACAGGACCACATAGAACGGCTCGACCTTTGCGGACAGAGGAGGGGAAAGTATTTTTTGGTAGAACAGAAATAATACAGGGAAGAAAGAAGCAGTTAAGGGATAGCTATACTTCCTAATGCACTTCTCATTTTCCATCAAGTCAAAATGTACTATTGATGCAATCCATCTTCCTGTTTGCTTTTTCCACTATGGGTTTCCATTACACAAACCCATTTGTGTGTGTGTGTCTTAGTGTGAGCAGCAGAGTTAAAAGCTGTGGTCTCTAAACAGTGTGCTGAGTGTGGCAGCAGTTTTCTCCTCCAAAGAGACAGAGACCTTGGAGAGTGACAGCAGGAAACCAGCCTCAGACTGGTGCTAATGCTTGGTGGGAGGTCGAGGCCTGTTGCCATGGTTACTTCAATTTCTTGTGCCAACAATACCAGTTTTGACAGGGGCCCGCGAAGTAGGCCATCTGAACTGTCTGTGATCTTCTTAAATGATTTAAAGCTCGCTCTGGTTTGCTAAAAGACATTTCAGAGAATTATGCTTAAAACTTTGATACAATTAGCGTGTGCGGTTTGTAATTAAACATTCAGCTGTACTTGAGTTCTTTTTGTTTAAAACGTACATTGGTTGTTGGTCCCTCTTCATTATCTGCAACACAGCCCTGCAGGTTGAACGACAGGTCTTGACAGTTGACAAGGACTCTCTTTCCAAACTTCTCCTCAAATTGCCGAACGTCAGGCTCTATGCCCGAGAAGTCCAGTTTCTGAGGAAGCAGAAGAAAATGTCAAAAGGTTGAAACTGAAAAATCTTTGGTCATGAAATCAATAAATTACATGAGCAAAAACAGATCTTTATAACCAGGTATTATCTTCATCACCTGTGTGTCAGGGTCCAGAGTGAACAGTTTCAGGCGAGCCTCACTCCTCATTTTGGACTCGATATCTCTGGCAGTCTGTACATTACACAGAAAAAAAAATGTTTCAAACATTTCATCTAAAAACTTTAATTTAAAGAATGAGTGCTGTATTCAGAAAATCCAAGGACAGCGGGTCAGAGTTCAAAAGAAGTCAAATTTATAGAAATCTTTGTAAAATCCAGTTTTGCACCCCTTATCATTTACTTTCTTATCCTCTACATAAATACATTCAAAAATCCTGGTCATAAATGGAGTTTCTGCAGTACAGCCAAAACATATAGGAAGTGTCAGATCAAGAACATTGATATGATTTTAGAGACCTAGGACTGAATATTAATTTTAGCAACCTCTCATACATTACTACCCTTAAAGTTGAAAATACTTATGATTAAGCCAACCAGACGTACTGAAACAAACTGCATGGTATTGTCCTTTGGTATTAACCAAAAAAATGTAGTTGCACCCAGGAAATCAAGACAATAGCTAAAAGACACTAAAACAGCCAATAGAATTGCAGAATTGTGAGACATTTATCTACAGGTTTGACTAATTCAGCTGCAACTCTTATTATTTGTTAAAAGATTGAGATTGAGACTATGCCTTTAAATTTTTGTTTTAAGACTGCCACGAACCAGCGTTCCACTTGGCCTCATCTGGACTCTTCATTTGAGGACCATACGCACTAAACCAGATGTTTGCTTGGTTAGCACCAACAGGGAAATATGGGGTCCTGGTTTCAGGAAGCACAGCTGTTTAAAATTCTACCAAAAGCAGAGCTCTATTTAAATTTAAAACTACTTCCAAGTGAAGCCTTTCAGCACCTTTAGGCATTTAAAACACCTTCACAGTTTGTAGACGAATGCACATGTTGTCACTTTTCATGTGGTCAAACAGAGGTGGTCAGCATTGTTTTTATGTAGGAAACATGCTACCTGAAAGCAGTCCTGAAAACTTCCGGAGGAGATGTCTGTTTTTCCGAGCTCCTCATCTGTTGGAGAGATCAGCATGAGGACTGTTAGCTGATGCAACTATATAAAAACATAATGATGTGTTGGTCTTTGCCTCTCTGTGATGAGGAGTGAAAATTACATAAGACAAAATGTGAATAATAAAAGCATGAGTGGGCTTCGTATGACACATCCCAGAGATAAATTAATCCATGGGTTACAGGGGAATGGAAGAAGCCTGCAGGTGCATCAAGTATCAAATGGCATGGACAAAAACACATAATGACACAAACACAGTGAGACGGCAAAAGAATACATGCAAACATAATTGAGCTGCTTTGCTTAGCAAGACATCATGTTAACGCACAAAAACACACCGTCATGCAGGTCTCCGTTCCTCTTCTCCTGCATGGCCTGTTCGAAGCTGCTGTGGAGAATCTTGTTGAGTGTGCCGATCCACTCCTCCATCTCTGCCTCGCTGTCTGCAGCCAGCAGGAACGTGCTCTTATCCTGCATCTTCAGCTCAAAGGCAAAGCGACGCACCTTGCTGTTCTAAAATTAAGCAAACGCAGACAATGATTAAAACTGTTTTTTAATGCCCTTTAAGAGCTTCAAATTTCCCAATTAATTTTTGTGCATGATTTCAAAGGTCAATTACCTGAACGACCCCCATGCACGAGTCAAGAAAGATGGTTCCTTTGGGTTCTTTTGAGGTGTTTTCATCTTTGTAGAAGTTGAGGTTGTAGGATCCATCCCCCAGCTGAGCCAGATGGAAGTATCTCCTCTTGAAGGACTGGAGGATGAAAATACACACAGTTAACATCCCAAGCGGCCTCATTCTCTCTAGAAATATAACAAGGGTGGAGACAGGGCGTGGGAAAGCTCAAGGGTGAAATGAAATGCACAATAAGTTAAGAGCTACCATAAGCAAAGGCTTATTTGATTTCCATATGTGCAAAGAGAAAAAGAGAAAATGACTAGATATGTTTTAACTAAACATGAATAACATGAAGACAATTAATTTACCCCGATGACATCACTATGACATCATCAAGGTTTGATTTCAGACACTAAGCTACTCGGAAGCCACAAAACTGTTCAATGTTTTTATCTGCAGTATCCTTTTAATCCCACTGCCTGAAAACATTGTACTTGTATAGATATAATAAATGAAGTCACATAACAATAACAATATTGAAAGGGGTTGTATGAGCTGTGTGTTGTCTCTGTACCCACCCGCATTGTCACACTGATTGCACTGTTCATGTTGCCTTTGTAGAGCCAACCATGTTTAGACACTCCTCCCTTCTGTGATCCGAGGGAGGCTGTGTCCTGCAGGAGGAAGTTACGAAAACAAACATTATTACATGTATTTGGCCAATAAATTAAGCTTAACAAATGAGTATTACATAATGATATGGTTATAGGCCCTCTTCATCAATGGGAACAGTTCACAACAGTGAACCTGGTCTTTAAAATCTGCTGACTGCCCTCAAGGCCAGTGGGAGGACAGAGAGCCATTAGCTGACCAGTCCTTCCTAAGATTAATGCTCTTAATTAGGATCAACACTTACATCGACACCACACTCCTTTAATCTCAGGAGATTTCAGCCATGATGGTGTGTCAATTAAAGGTCACTGGCCTTTGGTTAAATCAATGCCTTAAGCGAGGTAATTATTGAGAAGGGATGTGCCTCTAAAGTGCTACAAATGTCATGAAGATGTCACAACTATTCTGGGAAACCGTGTAGACACATCCAAAGGAGTGAAATTAATAAATGATGACATATTACAATAAAAAAATGAAGTTTGTGCTTTCTTGCCCTAGCTTAAAATCAAGTTTGATTGAGTGGGTTTACAACTGAGTACCTGAATTCCTTTTTCCCCCTACTGTAAACTCATTGTCATCAACACGTAAAGGGTTTTCTGAATAACCAGCTATTTTTAACATGAAGAGGAAAGAAGGTTTGTGATTGGTGGATTTACCTCGTCTTTTTCCACATCTTCATCCACCTCAAACAGGTGAGCTGCCAGCTTCTCAGGTCTCAACACCTTACTGAAAGTATAGGGAAAAGATCATTTAGAGACAGTGAACTCAAACTTCTGCTTATCTTAAAGGGAGCATCATCCTGTCATGTATGTATGAGTGCCAAATGTGGAGGCAGTAGACAGTGTTGCTAAACCGAGCACAAAGTCTCTGCTCATCACCAAAATATAGTTTGATGTAGGTGTTTCCAACTTTACCTGTCTGACATATGCTTACACTCCTTGAGAACACCTCAAGTAACCCTTTACATCAAATCCTATTCCACATGCATTAATATGAATAAACTATTTGACGTTTTATAGTGTATAATTTGGCAATTAAAACCTATCTATATCTAACTATATATATATATCTACCTATCTTTAGCTAACTATTACAAACATTATTCTTATATTTAAATGCATGTCATTATCAACTACACTTATACTCAATCCTTGATCAGTTCCTGTAGCTCTCTGTTTGAAAATGTCCTTATCTTTTAGTAAAGCTATTTAAACACTACATTCCCAATTTATAGGTTACATTTTGTCTGCCTGCTTGCTGACACATTTCATTTGAATCCATATGTGTTTATATATGTTTTTAAAATTAAAATTCAGTTGGAGTTTTTACCTTTAATTATAACCATGCTGCTTAACAATCTTTCCAGGCACCCCTTGGCAACAGTTGAACCGTTCAGGGTCAGACATATAAAAAGGTACTTTTTAAACTGAGTTTGGATTCAAAAGAGTCTACCACCTGAATTTAAAGTGGGAGCGTATTCCCAAGCTAAACGAACAAAAGGCTGTGTCTCTGAAAGATGAAGGAACAGGAATCCATTTGAAGCCTTGTAAGACAGAAGGCGGATTCTGAAATCATTCTTGCTTGTATTGGTAGCTAACCAAAAATATTACTGCAGGTGAAACAAGATCAGACTTCTTAGAATAATTCAGATCTCTAGTAGGTAGGTTTTGGACTAAAGTAAGGCCCCATTTTCAGGTCAGGCCAGGTCAGGCCAGAAAAATCACAATCAAATAATGTTATATAAATGTATAAAATCAGAACTGGTATTATGCTTGATGTAGTTCAAAGGAACAAGAGGAAATAGAGTACTCTACCCCAAATATTTCACATTGTAGCTCTAAGAATATAAAGTATGTCTCTGAAGCAAACAAAGTGCAAAATGCAAATGGATTTTTTTTTATTTCAAGGTCACTCAGCAATGCTTCTAGTTTTACAACTCAACCCCCCGTTAGACAGTTTGCCATTTGACATGTAAAAGGCCATGCTTGCTCTGGGGAAATACTAGTATAAACAGTGTCAAGGCCAAGGCCGGGGCTTGTCTAGTGTTCACTCTACAATGTTTTAAACATGACACACAACATCTGTAAAGCACATTCTTGTTGTTAAGGAAAAGTGGTTTGACCAAGGACGCTGCAGACATCATGGGGTTTCCCTTATGCTTAAATGATATCAATCAAGAGCAGTCTCAGAATAGCTTTGCTTATCTTTAGTAGAAAAACATAGGAAGCCTCTATTGTTGTTATGGAAGAGGTAAGAGCCTCAGAGACACAAATTTCCGTCTTTCTACAGATCTGGCCTAAGCATTCAGTGGGCTGTAAACAAAGGGGCAATGTCACTAAACACAGTGAGACTGAAAATATCCCTGGGAGGGATTTTGCAGCATGGTTAGCTGTGCGAGGATAACACAGACAATCAATTGTATAGCACATGCATTTATGGGTATAAAGCAACACACCAAATAAATACATTCTCAATTCAAGTGTCAACAACTGGATAGCAGCTATTCCACCGCATCCACCACACGCTTACTTTGGGAGCTGGCGGAAGTCTCCTGAATACTCCTCATACTTGTAATTGACCACATGCCAGTCAGACTTGTAGGTTTTGATACACTGCAGAGACACAGAGTGAAAAGAGAGTGAGGGGAGAAAATTAAAACATTTACCTACATGACTGGTCAAAACACGGATAGCGTCAGGTCTCTTAAACAACCCCAGGAAACTCTGGGTTTATGTGATTGACCTCCATGTTTTTAAGCAAGTAATGGACAGAGAGAGTTATTTCTCTAAGGGCAAAGTTCAAGGTTTGAAGCAGCTTTAGCAGATGCAACATGGCATTACATCAACATAAATTAGCAAAGAAGACATTTATCTTACTCTACATTAGGCAGTAAAAGAGAGCTGTTCCTGTGTTTGAATGCTCCTGGCACAAATCACGCATGTCACAAAAGGCACAAGAGACTGACAATAATATGATTTTATGTTTGACTCACATGAAAACAACACAACCATTTGGACAGGATTAATGTTGCAGGCTACGTTTGTGTAACATTTATTGATTATTTTAGTTATCATAACAAAATTCCAAAAAGTGTTCAGTAATTCTGAAAAGACATAAAAATACAAATGTGGCCTGAGGCCAGGGGTCACTAAAAGTTATAAAACAGATTAATAACAAGAACATCCATCTATGTGAGGTTGCACAGCTGCTCCAGATGTAGTCATGATGTACTTCCTGGCTTCAGCCATGGGGGACTATCCCCTATCAGGCTCTATCTGGGCCGCACCCCAACCAAACCTAGCTCACATCTCCCCTGAAACAACATGATGTGAGCCACCAGTGAACTGTGGATTCCATCTACAGCCAATCCTCTGCATTGTCAGGAAACATGTGAGGGCGGAAAATGCAAATTGAGGTTAATTTAAAGGCTAGGAGCTACATTTTTGACATTTTTGACTAACCCTGACCCATGAACAAATCAGAATAAGTCTTTGGTTGGATTCATGTCTCAGCATATTGGCTCCAGTATCTGAAGGGTTTTTAGGGTATTAGAGCCTGTTGCATTTTCTGGACAGAGGCGAAGCAACTGTGTTTGGGTGAAAAGGGAGAAAAACATGGCTGTGCTCCAAACAAAAGGTTTGAGCCAGGCTTTGGTCACGACAGAGAGGGTTAAGCTGTAGCCAAGATCCAGGGATAAAGTAGGGACAGAAAGTGCTCACACCCAGGTATGTATTAGTATTACCTCTTGGACAAACAGCGACTGAGCTTCTTTCTCAGCAGTCTCCGGCACAGTCGAGAACAGAGTCCTGCCCTGGCGCCTCAAGGTGGAGATCTGAGGAGAGAAAGAGAGAGTAGGCATGAAAAACAGACTGGCATGAGAGATTCAACCTGCTGCTGTTTATACACAACAGAGGAGATTCACTCACCCAGTAAAAACATTTGCAGCTTCGGGGGTATGTTCAGAGTTGGTTTGTGATTATATGAAATTACAGTAATCCCCACAGGCCAGTACTCTTTGTACTTTCCTTCAAAGGAAGGTCAAAGATCAATGTAAGCTACAGACTCCTGCTGGCATGGGTAAGTGCTATTCTCAAGGACACTTTTGCGGATGGATGCTACTTGCTATGCCTCTCTGATTTCTTCTCCTTCCTCCAGATGGTTGAATCAAGTCTGGTGTTAGCTCTAATTATTGTCAAAGGTGACATTTAAAGGAATATTTTGGCATTCGGGGAAACATGCAAGATTCGGCTTTCTTGAAAGGGGTTAGTTAAGTTAATTGTTACCTTGATTTTGTGACATCGCTGTCTCTCTCCTATGCTCTCTATCTGTCAGCAACAGACACTATTGTAACCTGTGCATCCTTTATGAGATGCCTTAAAGACTTGCTGATCTGTCTGTGCTGTGACTGTATGAGAGCTGCAGGTATTAAGGCGTGCAGAGCAGATAGATGCACACAGCATGGTATGTCAGGTGTAACATCACTTGAATTTACCAAGATACTGAACTCATCTTTCAAACAAAGTTGAAAATCTAATGTAATAAGAAGAAACTAAAAGAGACAGAACATTTGTTCTTTTTATAAAAAGATAAAAAAAGATTTATAAAAAAGAGAAGAAGAAGGACTACAGACATCGTTCTGCAGTCTATTATTTCAGTCCTAATTCCTCCCCCTGCTAATCTTATAAGACAGATACAGCCAGACTGAGGACAGTGAGGATACAGCTGAGGAGCAAAAGGCACCCTGGGGCTTCAAGACGGTTGAGCTGCTTTGCCTTCAAAGCTTTTGGATGCTGCAGCGACCATTGCTCCCACTTAGTGTTCTGCTTTTCCACTCAACCCACAAAGATGAGTAGGAAACAGTGGCACAATGACCTAGTTTTGTCATATATCTACTACTCTCACACTGGGAAGCACATACAGCTATTGAACCTCTGCCCTCATTTGTCCAGTTTACTCTTGTAAAAGCAATTAAAGACATGCCAGAAGCCAAGTTTATTCGATCCTGTATATTCTGTTACAAAAATCAGTGGTACCAGTGATGTGTTAAAGCAATTGCAGTGAGGATTATATGGGTCATTCAGCCTAAAAATTCCACAAAAGACTTGACTGGATTTTTATGCTCTGCTGTATAATTTACAATTACATTTTTAAAAACTATTATTTTTTGCTTTCTTGTTGCAAATAAGATAACATTGACACAACTCTCCTGTAAGAAGCAGGGTTATAATGGTAAGGTGCCGTATGCATATTCTATGCATACAGCATGGGTGTGTGTGTGTGTGTGTGTGTGTGTGTGTGTGTGTGTGTGTGTGTGTGTGTGTGTGTGAACCTACTGCACATTATAGCCCCAATTAATTTTTTTTTTCCATTTTTATGTTTAATTAATCTATACTAAAAATAAATGTGAAAACACATGTAGGCTCATAAGATGATGCATCATATTAAATAGTGGGCTTTAGAAGTGTTGGTAGATATTTCCTGCCTTTGGACAGAGCAAGGCTAGCTCTCTCAGCTTGGTTCTAGCTTTCATGCTATCGTTAGCTACAGTACTTGTCTCCTGGCTTATGCTTTATATTTGGTTTCCACACTTGACTGTGTTAGCAATCTTCTCATACAGAAAATCAAAAGACAATGATTTAAAGTTGAGGCTTAGCTGTAGTTTATAGATGAAGTTGAATTCTATGTTGAAGTACCAATTAGCATACCGCTGTATAACAGCTGTACAAGAGGGAAGGTTTTGTAATTAACGCAGCCTATCTGTCTTTCTGCACTATTGCCACCTTCCTGAAAACAAACCCATGCTGCCTGTGTGTTTCAGTCACTCAAGAAAGACTTTGAAAGCACACCGCTGTCAGTCAACTGTTAGCAAGAACTGCAGGCTGCCAATTAACAGCATTCCTCTCACAGTCATTAAACCGGGGCTTTGATGGCTGTCAATGGGCCAGAGGAGCATGTTTCCACAAGCAGTGACACTGCAGGGCAGAAAGGGTGATGCCAACCGGGAATTAAACTCTCTAGCAATGAGATACCGAGGCCAAGTGGTATAGAGGGGAGGAGAGAGTTGTCTGAGATCTTTTTTCTACTTTGAAAGATGAAAGTCAATTTCCTCTCTATGCATATGTATGATCACATGTGTGCAGAATCAAAATATGCATAACATCTGTTCTGATTTCATTCTTGATGGTAATTAAATATATTGACCATATTTAGTCAAACATCCATCCAAGGACCTCTTCTGTTCCAACTCTGCATGTAGTGAAAGATAATCTGACTTCATACTTAACCTCCTGTTACCTCCTTTTACAACAATGTTTCCCAACCAATTTCCTGCGAGCCCCCCCCTGCTTGTACCGGAGAAAAGCTGAGCCTATTTGAATTGTTTTCATTGATAAATCCCAACAGAACAGGCTTAAGTAAGTGTTTAATCATGATGAATGAAGTTAATGTGCAAATCTAATTTGACAGCCTCAGAGCAGACAAAGCCTCCTGAATGTTTTACACTGTAGCTCTCTATTGCAGCCTCAGTTAAAGTTTGCATCTGTGTTTGTGTGTGTATTTGTGTCGCACATGCAATTGCTAGACCCATATGTCTGGCTGGCTCCCCCCTTCGCCTCTCTCAGCCCATTGATGCGAAACATCTGGCAGGTTAGACAGATGGATGGACTGGGGTCGCACACATACCCTCCATAACACACACAGTCCTGTATGGAATAATGGCTGTGGCCTTCTTGTAATGAAAACCACTCATCATCCACTGATTGTGAAATAGTCTGAAGGCAGACTGTACGTTCAAGATTTCCCACCCAAACTCTGTTATTGCCATGGCTCAATTCTCTTGAGTGTGTCTGCTCTCTTGTTTTGTTGCCTAATCTGAATTTAAGGATGTTGTTGAAGGGGGGGGGGCGGGGAGTCCCAAATGGTCAAAATAACAGTTTAATTTTGGGCTTAGTGATTTCATTAAACAGTAGGGCATTTCAGTTTAAGCAAATGTTTCTCACACAGGAGATAATAGTGCATTATTACATCCTTATCACTAATGTGGGATTGAGCCAGAATAAACTTCACTGTGTGTTCATGGTAATAAATAATATAACAATGGTTTTTGAAAAATATTTAAAGTCTTATTCAGGGGGCTTGAGGTATGACAAACATTCAAGCATGAGTCCATCTTTTTTTTCTCTTTCTCTCCTAAACTGGGAGTGGACCCGCTGAGATCCATCCGAGCGCTACATGATGCAATGTTGACACAGTCTTTGAGCTGCTTGGAACACAGGCAGGAGATATATGTAGGGTGTAAATGTTTATAAGACCCAGTGCCAGCAATTACATGCGGTACAAGCAGAGGTCAAATGTCACACATGGGTTCCCCAAGAAATATCATAATTTGCCCATATACTCATAAACAGATTTGCTAAGCTGTTGCAGGTGGAGAATTCCTAGAAAGTTAAAGTCACGAGAAGTGGAAAGGAACTTAAGAACAGGATAAGCTCCTGATAAAAACATGCTCTTCTTTTTGCTAAATACATTAAATTGAGGAAACACTTTTATCAGTTGTATTTAAGTGTAGGATAAATCAACCTTTATGGATGTAGGGAGTTGAAGGACATTGAAATTAAGCTTACATTTTATTTTTTGTACGTGGCACTAATTAATAGAAACACTTGTTTCAAACAACTGCATTAGCACAGTCATTGCCTTAATCAATACCAGTTTAAATGCTAAACAAACATATTGAAGACTCAGTGAATAACTCCTCCCCTTCTTACCTGGAAGTCATCGGTGGGAAACTGCAGCATGTCCCGTAGAACATCACTGATGATCTGAGTCTTCCTCTGCAGAACCACATTCTCATAGTCTAGTGGCTCGATGACCTTTGGCTTCACCTAGAAGAGGAAAAACAGCAGAGGATCAACAACCGGCAGCTTGTTTTTGTTCTGCTCTGTTATCTTTTTTCTCACAAAATATTTCTGTTAATATGGTGGATTTTAGGGAATCAGTGTAAGGGCTGATAGACACAGAGATCTGGGGTATTTACGCTGTCCGGACAACAAGTTGGTATTGTCTTTCAGACACAGAGACGGAGAGATGACTGTGGGTTTACAGAAGAGGAGATGCAGCTTGAGAGAAGCGAGGGATGGATGAGCGAGAGTCTGTGTGTGCCATTGTACCATTCAGTGTGTCATGAGCTCACGTTCAAAACTTTAACAAGATTCTAGTGCTCACTGCAGCTCTTGTAGCACGTTTTCTGAGACTTTCCATGAACAGACATGACCTCCTAATACCAAGACCCACTGCAGGAAGACGTTTACTTCATGATATCATAAATCCTTAAGCTATGTTTCAACAGAGAGGGGCTTTGTTAGCACCGGTGCTTGGCAGTAGGTAGGATAGTCCAGCCTGGTTCATGATCTAGCACAGATCAAACTCCCCCGGCGCTTCAGACGTCCGCTCTTACATTCCACTGAAGAGACCCGACTGATTCCTCCAGCGTGTCCTCCCTCAACCAGCCTGACTGTGATATTAGAAAACAGAGCTTCACATGTGACACACATATGGAGGTAAACAACACTTTGATCTATTTAAAGTTGAACTAAGACAGATTTTGCTTTTTTAAATCTCCTCAATATTCCTGATTTTAATCAAAGCAGTGACACCCTAACTTATCAATACCCAAAACACAAAATTATTTTTGGCTTAGAAAAGTAAAAATGCTGCCTGTCCAAACTTCAGAAAAAACTACAAAAAGCAGATCATTCTTCCCGTCTATTTCATTTGCTTCAAAGCATCAAAGAAAGGCAACATGCTTGTATAGAAATGAGTGTACATATACTGCATTACTTTTTAAAGGCTCACTGATACTGCGTTCAAGTTTTATTTTATACAGTCTATGATCCTAGCTTAAGCGTATAGCTATATGCTAACATCTGTATGTTAACATTTGTATTAAGTCACAGTTATAAGGTTTATTATGTTTTGTTTAGAGCTTTAGCATGCTTACATTTGCTGATTAGCACTACATTTATTTTTCGTTTGAGTCGTACTCTGAGGGCCAAAAATGTCTTTACTAATTTGCATGGCCATAATTCCAAAAATTTGTTAAATTCTGGACCATCATAAAAGTCTGTTAGGTAGCATTGAGCGTCTTTGTCTATCAAACAATCTGGAAAAATAAAAAAAAATAAACAAAAAACAGCCCCAAGACAAAATATTGCTTAAAGTTATCACTTATCTCTGCTTCATTTTAAATTATTGCAGCCTCCTGAACCTATAGTGTGTCCACTAGGCGTGGCTGCAATCCAGAGTATTTGGATTAGCCTCTTGGTCTATGGCCAATAAACACAGAACAAACTAAGGCCAATTAAACAGTCGCCTGACCATAGATTTACATTTTGATTCGTCCAACCAATCCCCCTGATGACGCGATAGAAAATATCCCTCTACATCTCTCAGCCCTTTGGATGTAAAAGATCATCTGATAAGCAGTAAATCGTCCGCTCTGACTCCCCGCTGGATCATTTCCATCCAGACAGAAGATAACAACAAGCAGCTGTGAACTCTGACTTAACTCTGAATAAGTAATTATCTCATGAATACATTAGAAAGGCAGTAATGTGAGGATAACGTTTAACTTTAAGGCTCATGAAGAAGTGGATAGTCTGCTTTTTGTAAGGTCAAATACTGTCATTTAAATAATACTCTTACCTAACTGCTCAGCTACCATTTTTAATCTTGATTTCGCTGATCAGAATAATCCAAATTTAGGAACAATATGCAGGATATTATTTTAAAAGAAAGTGCATAATATTAGACTTTTTTCAGTGTCCTAGTGAGTGTGCACCTTGTCAAGCTCCCTGACTCTGATCCACAGAAACAGTTAATGAACAAAGGAAGCTACAAGTGCTCCAATTTCCTAAAAAAAGATCAACATTCAACCCCCTGGAGAGGTGTGCCCTCAAGCTGCTATTTCCCATTTCCGCCTCTGCCTTTTAAATATATCTTCAAAGCTGCTCTTGAAATGGAATTCAAGTGATAAAAAACTTCCTAAAACAATCAGATCACATCGGCTCCTTTTAGCAAGAAACTCCCAGAACAAAATCTTGTAAAAACTTCATGGCAGAGTACACACTTACCGCTGCCACCTGTGACACAGCCTCCACCTCTGCCTCAATCTCAGCCAGGCTCTTGTACTGCTGCGGGGACTCTATAACCATCTCCCGTTTGGGGGCTTTTCCTGCCCGGCCCTGCATGGTGCAAAAATCCTGCCTGTGTGTGTTTCCCTCAGTCAGGTGAAGAGACTCACCAGTCACCACAAGCAAACTGCCATGGCATAAAGTTGCCTGCAGTGTGTGAAAGCCGAGAGAACTTTGCCGACGTCCAGTGAGATTCGCTCTGTACTCAATCACAATAGCCCAGCCTCCCTCTCTCCCGCTCTGTCTCTCATCAGGAGGGTTGGGCCCCTCCCACCCTTACAGCTGTGCAGCTGTGGGAGTGTGTGGATGTATGTGTGTTTGTGTATGTACAATATTTGGTTTTAGTTAGGTGGAGGAGGGGAGAAATCAACCACTCCCCCATTAAAAACTTGGAAGAAGCCCAGAGATCATGTGCATTCTCCACCTGCCTAATGTCTATGTGTGTGTGTTGAAAATAAAAAGTAGCAAAGAAGGCACAAAAATGGAGGAGGTTAGTGGAAAAAAGTTGCAAACATTTTTTTGATTACAGCCTGTACATGACTGTATCATTTGTAATGCACATGGGGCACCAATGAAATACATAGTTGGTGTCAAGCAGCAGTTATAAGGGGAGACTTCACAGGAGTCTAACAGACCCAAAAACATGCAGCAATTTCACTTTGCCTAGTGTCATTAAACACACTTATGGTCTAAACTGATGCAGCAATTTAGAACTAAACTTTAATTGCATCTTCCTTTTTAAAACCTGGAATTTAAATTACCCAGGATGCAGTTTGGTTGTAGTTCCTTTGTGTAATTCTAGTCAGGACATATGTAGACAGGGGCCTTTAGCCAAATGCAGAGATAAGGAGCAGGCCTCAGACGTCTGGTAAGCTCATTTCTTTTTAACTCGATAGCCGCTTACTTTCAGAACTGGTTTTCCTCAATCACAACTGATGCTGACTCAAGTGACATCACTTGAGGAGATTTGCGGGACTCCTTCTTGAGCCAAAGAAGGTATAGTAAGGAGCTAGTGGGAGAGCTTACAAACAACTGGAAACACATTTTGGTGTATAAAGTTGGTGAAGCTCAACTGGATGCGTGGCATACTGCTGGGTATGAGGAGCTTAAGGACTTGGTAACAAGACTACCCACTTTCAGCCGTGGACGTAGCCTATAGTCTGTTTTGAATATTTTTAGAGAGGCAGCTTTTTTTAATATTTAAAATTTGATATTGTCCTAAAAATAATTGTATATCGATATACTACCACATACTGTATACTTTCTATAACTTTACTTTTCACTTTTCTCAAACGAAAGGTTAACAAAGGGCCATTATTTTAAAGATGACATTAGTGCTTCTGCAACATCAGCGTCATTTGGCCCGTGGACCCAAAAGAGGTTTTTCTTTTCTTTTTTTTTAAACACGATTCTGTTGAATTTTCTTAAAATAACTTTGAGAGTTGCACAATTTAAACACTCAATCTGTGTTGATAAAGTTCTACTCCCCGTTGATATTTTCTCTGCTTTGAACTGTTCTTACACTGTATCCGCTGCAGCAGGCACACACAGCAGGGTCAGTGAAAACACACTTTCCCTTCATCCGCCTCTTAGACACCAACACACACTTTTACACACAAGAACGCACACACACTCTCCTGCTGCTTCAGGAAGAGTTTGAGTTGCCCCTTGCTTCTCTATCCAGTCAGCGTTCTCTCAAAGGAGAATCTTTCGCCTTTTATCTTTAAGCAACAAAGACGCCTCGGCTCAGCTGTTTTCTATTGGAGAGCGTGTTTCAGAATGATGACATTTAAAGTTTTCAGTGAGGAATTACTGCTGGTAAATTTATGCAAATCCTGTATTTTGAAGGGTTTTTTCTCTCTCTTTTGCTGCGTTATACAACTTGTTAGCCGCATCGATGTTTACAAGCAACTGGCTCTCTCTGACTCAACAAGCATGATTAATAACTCATCCAATTATGTCTTCAGGATGAGAAGCTTGGCCTCTCTTGTGCTCTAAAAAATGAGAAGGGGGGGAGTTGGGATGTCAGGGTGGAGATGACTTCAAAGGCCGTCTTCTCGGCGCTATAGTTTTAGCAATATCCCCCCGAACAAAATGTAGCACAAAGGCAGGCGAGTGTGTGCATGTGTGTGACATTGACTCAGTGTACAGCAGGGTCCTCTGATGTGTGAGGCACTGTGCATCATTAGCATAACTTGTTTTAACTGTACTCGCTTCAAAGGGACTTGCTGAAATGTACCATTCAGAGAAATAACGTCTTTTAAAAACACAGGAAACAGCACAGAGGCTGTCAAACAATGTTTCACATCGTGAAGAGGGCGAACAGGAGGTGAGATGGAGAAAGCTTCATGAGCCTCAAGGATAAGCATCATGATAGTGATGATTTAAATGTTAATGTAACCTGCTGCCATTGATGACTCCTTTCATTGTCAGATAATTTAGTATTTAACAATAAAGTTTAAATGTCATTAAAAGAAGGTCTATAAAACAGAGCAGAGTTCAAAGTGATCACTTCAAGTATCTGGTTCTGTCCAGAAAACAGTCCAATACCTTAGACAGTCAATTCAAATATTAGCAGTCGTTCCATTGGATTACCATGATTTTTACAAACTTAATAACTTTTATTTACAGTGTTTCGCTTTTGACAGTGTTATGTCAAAAGATTATTAGATGTATTGCTGTGACATCCGGTACATTTATTCATATCCCTCTCACTGATGATCCTTTCACTAGCACTATCACCAGGTCAAATATGTCCACAATTCTGTTTATGACCAAGTCTCTGCCTAAATAACAGTCCCATCACATTTATCATGTTATTCAGTTAACAACACCACTGGTATGCTGATAATAGCAGAAAGCTCAAGTGTGATGTAAACAAGACTAAAAACCTGTCAAAGCACTGGAATGACAATTAACCTTCAACTAACTCTGGTACACACATCAAATTGCAACATTTATGTTTAGTATTTTACATGTTCTCTTTACTAATAAATACAAATACATAAAGAAATAACTAAAGAGAGAAAAGAAAAAAATAAATATGTTGGTAATCATTCCTAAACAGAAGGACGGACCCAAATGCAGATACATCATCTGAGTCATCTCGTTATGTCTACCCATAAATAGGAAGAATTTACGAAACTTGAGGTAAATCTTAAAAGGTTTGAGCGCCAATGCAACTGTTTCGCTACTGGACACTTGGATTTTGAGGCTCATGCTCCTTGGAAACATTTAATGTTTCTTTTATCAGAAAAAGCTGAGAGAATAAATTACATGTTGAAACTCATTTTATGTTCCAAAGGATAATCTAAGGTGAGGAATTGAAATCACATCTAATGCATGCAATTCCTGACTTGACTTTGCTGGCCTCACTCTTTAATAGACTGCTGACTGTAACATGTGTCCCCCCCCCCCCCCCCCCTTCGTCCCGTGGAGGCTTCAGTGACAGCGTCACCAGCTCAGCGTGATAATCAGCCTCTTGTCAGAAACCCTGACTGCACTGAGGTCATCCCGCTTCATTCACCCGCATCTCTGGAGTGCTCTCACACCATCACGCTTCCTGGAGCTTTCACTAGTGCCATGCCAGCAATATCACGAGGATGTGAGTTTGTGTCTGCAAATGTGTACAGTGAACGATGGGAGTGCTAATTAGTTTACAAGACCATCTGCGTAAGAGCTTTACGAAAAAAAAGTAAAAGTTGTGAGGGAGAAAGTGAGGGAGGAGGAAGATGGCGTACATTTTTTTTTTTTACACAGCTTGAACCCATTAGGACATGTGAGCCTTCCACACCCTTCCCATGAGGCGTGCACACACACACACATGTAGACGTAGAGCGTCACACAAGTCTGCGGAGAATTGCGTAAGCGCAGATTGACGTAATGTTTGGAAGCTGATCATCGCTACAGGCGCCCTGGAGAGAGAAAGTGTAAGGGTGTTGCCTGAAAAGAGTTGAGACTTCCCCTCCAGACGGATCCCCCTGCACACGCACACACATACATGTCGAGTAATCACTTGCAGCTTGCTTAGCAAAAAAAAACACAGCCGCCACAAGCTATAGTCCGTCACACTATGCAAAAGTGCAGAATGTCCTTTAATCGACCAATGACAGAGCGGCTCAGTGGCCTGTCATGTGGTCAGAATTATTTTACTGTAGCTCCAGGTGAAACACTGAAAAACATGTGGGATTATTTACTATGATACCAGAGAGGGGATTTTCCTGATGTCAGAGCTCGCTGAGGTGCTGCGAGAAATGAGGCACAGAAAGTCCCTGCTTGGGATGAGTCCATAGGGACAAAGATATAGTCTCAAAACCCACACAAATGGATAAGAATCCAAAAAACGGTCCTCATATATCAAACCAAAAAATGTGTAGTGTTTTCATCCTAGCCTGCAATAATTGGTAGATATTAAAAAATAATTTCACAGACAAGCTGATGAGCATTTATCTGAAAACATATTATTCATGGTATTTACAGGTTCATGGACAGGAATGACATATGGGTCAAATGTACAAATACTTTGTTTGTATAAACTGTGAAGTATCGTTTGTTCTGTTATCAGGACTTGCTGCTTGAAGATTCTTTTCACTGGGCCACTTTCTGGTGCAGGCCTTCAAGGAAATAGGATAACCTGAAAATATACTTTCCCTTAGCCATCTTTTAAAGAAGATAGAGCTGGGCGACAGATCAAGTTTATCAATGAATCAGGTTTGTGAAAAATCGAGAATTTCACATTAATGATTCCTGCTGAAGATCATTAAAGGCTTATCTTATTTACAACCAAGGTTGCAGGATTTTTAAAATGTATTCAAGAATGACTACAGCACTATAAAAGCAGGGTTGAGTCCCGAAGAGCTTGGAGGGATCAAAGTAAGAGTAAAACAAATAAAAATAATGAAGGCAGTGATTTCCAGCTACCCTAACAGTGAAGAACTCCTTTATTTGAGATGTACTTTTATGAGACCTTGAGGCTCAGTCCTGGACTCTTCCTGTGTTTTCCAGCTTTAACTATAATTTTGATATTAATGGAAAATGTAATCGTTGGAAAGGGTTATGGGAGGCCAACAACAGCTTAATGGTTGCAAAGGAAACATCTAAAAGTGATAATGGTTCTTAGTGAATGTCCATGACTCTGTGTGCACTAGCCATCCTACTTAACCCCCTCGCTATTGATTGTCCATTAAA